AAGTTGATATAGGTGGACTACTAGTTTATTGTCAGGATTATAAAGATGTTTAATTCTCTTCGTGACGATACAAAATGGATTGAGAGATGTGGCTCCGTCAAATCAGTTTGATTTCAGAATATATTACAATAATGTTGAGGGATTTTATTGATGATCGAAAGATATTGGATAGTTGGGGTTCCAACGTCAATCTTTGGTCAAACATCATCCTGAGAAATCTCTGGAGATCGATTCCTCTAGCGCTGATTTCATGGTGGCAAGTGTAGGTGGTCCCAAATTCACTCTTCTAGAGTTTTTATATTTCCGGATTTAAGAAATATTTATTTGTTACTGTGGGACCTTTCCTTTGTATAATTGATTGTCAGCCAGGTGTAAAATTTGAAAGAAAAATTAATCTTAATTAACTCGCAAGGTATTCAATAATTTTGTTTGCTGTATAAGTATGAGTTAGAAAACAACTAAAGATAATTACAATTTGACATCTCAGGAGGGGGAGATACTCGAGCAAAGTAAAAAAAAAACTTTCCACGGGGATCAAATAAAAAGTTCAGAAAAACTCCTGACGAACAATAAAACGCTTATTCGGCAGTATTTTTACAAGTTTTCGTTCAGAGGAGATACTTTTCACCAACACAATAAACCTACATGCCGCATGTATTTTCTCGACTTTGCAACAGGCAACTGACCAAAAGTTCCGGTCAATAGTTTTTAGAACAAATCCTTTTTCAGGGTATACCAGCTTTCGCTGACAATAAAATTTTCTCAACTATCAATTTATCCGAATTATCAATTCTGATAAGATTTTAATGACAATCATATTGCTCGACAGGATTATTATTCTGCATATGGAGGAACCTTTTAAAGAGCAACATATGCAAAGTACTTTAACAAGTAATTTTCTTCTCACGGTAATAATTCAGAGACTCACTGACGATTTTCTTCATTTTTTCGCAGATTATGCTAAACTCAAATCTCATATTTATCATGTTTCTACCACAGAGTTATATTATCAAGTTGATGGAAACTACTATATGGAAAGCAGTGGCCTTGGAATACTCTGCATCTGGAAGAGATCAATGGTGAAGCTAAACGCAGCTTCAAAGACACCAAAACGTGTGAAGCTTTGAAAGCAGCAATAATTCACAAGTTCCAAGGCACTGTTGACGAGAAATTTATCCAATCAAGGATTGGCACATGGGTATCAGGGGCAGCTGATCGAGATGGAGGACGTA